AGTTAAAATAAAACTTTTTTAAATTTTCTAGTTAAATAGTTAAATAGACAATTTGATTAATTTCTAAATAGAACATCTATTTAAATCTAATTTAAAACTAATTACTGTTGACATCTTAATAACTATAGTAAGATTTAAAGATGTTGTATAATTTATACTATTTTTATTATATTTTAATATATGTTTATATACAATTATATTTTAATTTTTTTATTGTATGTATATCCTAGTGATGATTAGTATGTACGTATTTATTATATATATATTAGGCTCAAAAATGAAAAACGCTCAATAGCAAAGAAATGATCAGAATTCTGCTTAAAATTTCGTGAGATTCTATTTTCTTCGAAGATATACAGTGTCGATTAAATAAATTAGAAATTTCTTGTTTCAAAAATTTAAATATTTCAGTTTAAAATATAATAATTAATCACTACTAATGATTCTTATACAATAGTAATTTTATTATACTTTACTATTACTATATAATAGTAACTTTATCATATATATAATAATAACTTTATTGAATGTAAATATTTAAATTTTTATTATTCACTTTTAACTTTTTTATAGTTGAGTGCTTATGTATTTTTATTTCATTTGTTTTAGGTTAAATTTAGACCCATTGAAGAATCCTTATATACCAAAGGAGAAACAGGAAATAATTCGCAAGCAAAATATGAGAATCATTGTGTATTAAAATTTGTAAAATCTATATCCTAAATATAAGTTAGGAAGTGCTAGTTGTATGCACAAATTTAAATTAAAACGCTGAGAAATGTTTTACTGCCTATAAAAGTTGTTTCTCGTAAATATATTTATGCTTATAAAACATTTTCTGATTCCGAAGCGGGAAATTCAAAACTCTTGCCCCAAAAGTGGGAAAAGATTATGGGGAGGACAAATACTTTAATTGAAGCATTTAAATATTTTATAACTGTAATAAACGCTTAAAGAGTGAAAAAAAAGTAGAAATAATGCAACTACTTAATAATTCATCAATTCACTGCTATTATAAAAGATAAACACCGTCATATTTGAGTGTATAAGAATATGAAAACATGTAAAGAAATTAATAATTTTTGTAATGTTTAATTTCAGTTTACAAAATAGTTTTGGATTTTAATTTATTTTATAAATATAATAACTTTTATATATATAATAAGTTTTATATATATAATATTATATATAATATTTATATATATAATAAGTTCATAATATACACATTATACTGAATTTTTAAATCGTCTAAACTCGAAGGAGGCTCAAATAATAGTCAACGTAAATTATACTATACTGTAATACATAGTACACATAGTACACATATGAAAAAATCCAATAAGAAAGAATCTGAAAAAATATGTTAAACTGTGCATGTGATGTAGTATGACGAGATTTTGAATTTTTCCAATAACAATATAATTATAAGGAAAGTCTGTAATAATGCCAATTTACTTATGTGTATGTTTTTTAGTCAAAAGTACTGCATTTTCTAATTACAAATGCTATTTTATTGTAAAATGGTTATATGTTTCTCTTTTTGAAATTTAAAAGATATTGCTAAATAGTACATTTTCCAGTACACATATACTTCTACATTCATATTTCTCGTCAAGAAAAAGTAATGAGTGTAATTAACAATGGAATTCGAGAGAAAAAAGATACGAGAGTTTTTTAAATATAACACATCTTTTATGAACAATTATTGCTCTAGGTTGACCAGTCCTCTAAATATTTTTAGGATTTTTAACAAGTTATAAATTATTTTTCAGTGTTTATGTAAAGTGCGAGAAATTTTCTATGCCTCTATGTCTTTAATATTATTGAATATAGAAGTTAATTCAGTAAATTGTCATTTATTTGTTGGTTTTCTTTTTTGAGAGCATTCTGATATTTTTTGATTGTTAATGTTTTGAAAATTGTTTTTCAGATGACTCTGTGTTGTAAAACAAGTCCTTCCTTGTATATATTTGTATCTAAAATGTTTCTACAAGTTTGTTATCTAGTATCGATCAATTAACTGAATAAGTTAAGAAGAGGAAATAGAAAAAGTTGTAATAATTTAACAAATCAGATGTTGGAATTTAATGAAGAAATTATCCATTGTATCATTTATAATTGTTTCAAGTCTAGTGCATCGATTGTGAAACACGTATTAAATACACAGACCAAGAAAATATTAATTATTTTTACTTATAACATTTAAATAAACGCAGAAATAAAATTTGAATAAAAATGTATATTCTTAAATCTAAAAATTTACTAATCGATACTGGATGATAATTTTTGGATTACAGTTTCATTTTCACGAATTATCAATTGTTATTATTAAAATGATTTCTTTCAATTTATCAAGTTCCATTTATAACTATAAACTGGTTTTCGAAATTTTAATTTCTATTAACTGTAACTTAAGCTATAACAAAACATCTTAGAATGATCTGGATGATTTTCTCTTACTATTGAAAGATGTTTAATTGAGAATTAAAAGAAATATATTGTTTCTTTAATAATTGACACTGTGTTTTAATATAATGATTTATATTTTAAGATTTCAATGTAAAAGCATCGAATTAATTTTTATAATTAAAAATCATTCGCATTTCACGGTCGATCAAGCTTCAATGTAGACGAGTTCTTTACGGTAAATTTGCCGTCGCGGTTGTTTGCCACCGAGTTTAAGCGTTCAATTTTTCTTATAATTTACACAAGCGGTTTACATTATGTACATAATTGTTTTTTTGCATCTAAAAGGTACTGCGTCCAAATTACTATAAACCACAGTTGCGGCGGCGAATTTGCTGCGCAAACCGCTCGTCTGCATCATTTCTTTTGAGATTTCGTACGCTTTGCCTTCTCATGTTTTTCGTATATTGAAGTTTTTTTAAAAAATAATACAAAATGTACCGAAGAGAAAAAAAAAAAAATAAATGTTTCTAAACATATTTTTTACAAATTTTTTTATTATTATTTCTAAATGATTGAAATCCTTTCTGACCGTGTGATTCCAATTGGAATCGCTAACTATAATACGTGACTAATGATTTAAATTGGCCACCAAACGTTATAGTTCCATTCTTCACCGACAGATTCGAACAGTTAGTTGATCGATAACAATCGATCTTGTGTCAAGAGTCATTCAAGGATGAAATGTGGGAAATGCAACGTTTCACTTTGCCTCAACAAAGATAAGAACTGCTTCAAAGATTTTCACTTAAAATGGCATATTTGTTGTAATTTATATATTTGATGTATTTTTTTTTTTTAATATTTAGATAAAAAGTGAATTAAAAAAAAAGAAAAATGTTTATTCTTTGCTTTCCCTAGCCGCACCCCAATGTCCTAATAATACTAATTGGAATCGTACCCCAAAATGTATTTTTGAAATTCTTGTTTATTTAGGCCTAAAGACAAAATAAATTGCAAGAAAATTTTTCTTCATCTTTTAAAAATAACTCAGGTCAGAAAGGGTTAATAGTAACCGAAATATTTAGATATTATGTGACTCATCCCTGTCATTAATATCGATCACAAAAGAACTTTTCCTATTATTACAAAATATAAATTTTTAAACTATATAAATTATTCTTACTTAACGTTATATTTTTTTTTTTCATAACGACGTCCATAATTTAGAAATTTCCTTTATCGTTCTAATAAAACAGTGATATAATATAGATTATAACATAGATTTAAGATATTGTTATTAGCAATTTTAAATTATTTATATTTATTATTATTTAAAATTTATTAAAATTCCAATGGAATTAGTTGAATTATTTACATTGTACTGTATTCCACCATTCACAACGTTTCTTTACGTTGCTGAATGCTGTTCCTGAAGGGCAAAGTGATGAAGTTTTCGACCAACCAGTGCAATCGTGGAAAACCTACAAACAAGGAATTATATTAAAATTATATAAATATATAAGATGTATACCTACATTGGTTCAAAAGTATAGAAAATACTCGTACATTCAATGAAAAATTGTCAATACTTCGAATTTTTACAACTTTGTGCAAACAAATCGCACAACAAATTTTAAGGGTTCAATTTTTAGAAACTAGTTATAAAAAAAATTTTTTCATAAAAATATTTAAATTTGAAAAATATTCGAAAAGAAAAATATCTTTACTTACTCTCTTTGAAATGACGAAAAATATTTGTGAAAGAAACGAAATTATAAATATTATAAAAGTACCCAGCGAGGTTACTGTACGATAGAAATTTTTCATCAATTTTGGAATTTTTTTATAGGAATTTTTCATCGATCGTGAGAATACTATGCTGAACAAAATTATCGTCGATGTTTTAAATTATTATAGCTTTTTTAAAAGAATTTTATTATTCATTTTAAAGTATGATGCCTTTAGTTTCACAATACTGAATTCATTTTTTCCCTCGAAAATTTCAATTCATTTTCATAAAAATATGAAAAACTGTTTTTTTAACTCTTGCCATGCTCTTAAAGATTAAAGTCTTTATGTCAATACCTTAAGATTGTTTTTTCGAAATTATAAGTGGTTAAAATATAGACAATTTTTCATCGAAATTACGAGCATTTTTTATATTGTATATGTATGAAAATTAATAATGCCGAAATACATGAAATTTTAGGCTGCATAGAAAATTGTTGAAAGGAAGAGGACAATAAAATATGTACTCACCTGACAGTTAGTTTCAACGTCAGCAAACATGCCTCTTCTACCATTGCACGTGAAACCAGTTTCTGGTATCCTGGTGAGATTCGTGTAACGAGAAATTATCTCGTCAGCATTCAATTTTACATTTTGATACGATATTGCTTTTGGATTTATTTCAATGTTTTGTAATTCCTGTTTCCGAGTATAAGGAGAAAAATTTTGGCCCCTGTTTACAGGATGAGATTCAACGTGTCTCGAAGATCGCTCGTGAAACTTATTCAGAAATCCTTGATAATTAGCAATGATCTGCAAATAAATCAGACATTTTTTTGTATATTTTCATAATCCAAATGTTACGTTACCCATTTTAGTATCTCGAAGCAAATTATGAATAAATGATCGATTTCTAACGTTTTTGTTCCTGGAAAATATAAAGATACATCTTTTGTCTAATGATTTGTAATTTTAACTATTCATTTATTTCCTACTTTGAACAAATTAAATCTATTTTATATTTTTTTACATTCTTTTGTATGTAAATTTTTCGATGTATGAAATAAATATTTATTTATATTATACAAATTTCTATATATATTAAATTATATATATTAAATTATACAAATTTCTATATATATTAAATTTTATATCGACATAAAAATTATTTATTCTGAATATATTAGAAATAATTTTTACTTAACTATATAATCATTGATGTAAACATGAGAAAGAATATAATTTATATGTAGAGTTGTTCTATAGTTAATATAGTTAATATTGTTAAGTTAAAAAAAATTTTATTATAAAGTTATAATAAAAACACTAAAATTATAAACGATTGATTTTTCATTTAATTCTGCATGGAAATGTTGATAATATTTTATTACAGAGATTATGTTTATTATTATATATATCATTGTAATTATCACTATACGTTTGTCACAAAACTACGTATGTAATTACTAACAATACTGATAGTTGCCAATTAATTGAAAAAAAAATGTGTTTTTAGTATTTTTAATAAAGCATTTACATTAATATTTTTAATAAAACATTACAGTTTTAATAAAATATTTACATTTTTAATTATAGAATATTATTGACATTGTTTGCATCAAATGCTGTATGCATCAAATTTTCTGATCTGTAATTAAAATACAAATGTATATTGTAGAATAAGTAGATATTTAAACTGTAATATATATATATATATATATACTATAATATATATACATGCTATATATAGACTATGATGAAAGAAAATTACGTAAA